TTTATACCGACTCTTCTTTTTTATTCACTATCGCTTCACTTTACACTCCTGTGCAGAAATAGCACCATTTTCATCGAGTGTAGGATTTTGATTTTTGTTTTTTGTTTGGTTTTTGATTTTGATTTTCCTAACATCTGGGTGTTCTTATACTCATATCCAATTTTTTTGAATACTCAGCTTCCACGGTCGAGCGGGCATGCTCCTCCTCTTTTTCGTTACACTCGTTGAGACTATGCTCTTAATTTCTACTTGATTGTTTGTGGTTTAGATTCACGGCTACATTATGTTTCGATGCCCGAGCAATCACAGAAACTTCCGCACGATTGTTTTTGGACCATTTTGCGGCTTCGCTTTCGGATCCGGACTTCATGGTCGCAGAACCCATTAGTCCCGAACTGAATTTTGATTTCGCTCGTCTCCTGTAGGTTAACTAATATTCTGCGATTTTTTTAAGGTCAACTTGTAGTTTGCTCTTTGTTTCGTGTAGATGTCTTTAAATTGTATTGACCTAGAACTGAGTAGTGATGTAGAATGTCTAAAAGATTTGAGTAATGTAAATATTTGTATTTCATGGCTCTGACCATAGAGCAAATGTTAGAAGGAACCAGAGTGATAGTGTACGCCCAGTGATCGATAAATTTTCAAGCTTTGTTGAAGGAAACGTGGTCTTGTGGTGAAAACCGAAATTACCTATCTGTTTTTTCCAAATTTTTGAGGATATCTGCCATCTTCAATGAAATCGCAGAACCACCCAGCGGAATACTTCACCTAGCAACTCTACCTCGTAGCTGCCAGTAACTATTATTCTAATTAAGATCTCATCTTCGAAAGTGAGTTTTCTTTTTTACCGTCATAGATTGATTGCAAATGTTTACACCATTTTTTGCAATGTTTCGTATAAGTGCGCACTTGCACTAAGATGGTGTGCAGCCAGAGGTTAGGCCCAACGTGAGAGGACCGTTTTGTTTGTTCGGAATGTCATAATATCTCACCCTCCAAATCTTTCAAATTTGGAAAAGGCAGTTGCTGGTGTCGATTTAAATGTAAATGGTGGTGGAGTAGTTAATGATAGATAGAACAAAAAAAAATGGGGGAGCACGCAACACGGTTGTCTGCAGCAAGGTGTTAAAATTTACGCTACTTTTTCACCTATCATATTCGAATTTTTCAGTAGACCATGATCATCACGAGTTTTACGATACTCACCATGTAAAGCCATTGCTTCCATTGACACTACGCACTATCACACGTGGACAACATTTTCTTGCAAGCGTTCCGTTGAAGAAGCGAGGAGTGGACAAGGTATCGGCCGATGATCTCAAGGGAAAGGTACCTCATGTCTATTTCAATTTTATATTCTGATGACATAAACTGGTGCAGAATAATGTACAATCACTGTTAATTGGTTTGTATTCGCGCATTTTTTTACTTATCCCAAAAAATTGATCAAGCAGAACTTCATTACTTCATATCAAAAAGAGGGTTCTTATAGAGTAAACATAAGTAGTAGGCATTTTGCTAAAATATAAGCATTCTTCCATAGTCCACTTTGAGAGAACGAAAAACACTGTAACAAAGTGTTAGACGATTGGATGATCAAGTCGTGTTCATCTCTGTAACGACCGTGCTATAAGCAGATGTCAGACTTTGCGAATCCAGCGGTCGCTAGCGAATCGCTGATAAGCGTGGCGGTTGCACCAGCGAATCGAGTCGTTGCCACGATCGACATCGCTGCCAAGTGATCGACGATGGCTATCTACTCCACATACCGTTTAAAGGGGCGGCAAGTCAAGAGGAGGTGCCACTTCAAGGAACACGCTGTATCAGAGGTGCAGGGCTACTTGAAGCGTTTGATCCCGGCCAGCTCGCTAACGCGGCAATGTGAATCGAATGCCACTGGCAAGGTATACGAATAGGTTTTCAAACATCAATGCATCATGACGGACAAGCGTAGGACTGATCTTCACCTGAACCGATTCGAAGGGGGGGGGGAAGACTACAGCTCTCTCCTCAGCTCTAAGGTTGCATATTTGTCCTGGAACCATTTAAATTATCTGCACAATCAGTATGTATAACTGTGAGGACTGTAGGTCAGGAAACCAATGTTGCGGGTTCGTGCCGAAATTAATGGTGCCGCGTAACTCTTTTACTATCCACTTGCGGCACACCACAACCTGAGCGCCCTGGCCGAGGAAACTTCGTCATAAAGTTAAACCACGAATCAGTTTCTTTTTCCAATAAAAGGCGTTTTAAGTGGTAAATGAAGTAGTTTAGGTTCTTCTGCTTTATTTTTCTGCTGGATGGTGTAGATCTTGTAGAATGCTCACTCCCAAGCTGAAGGTACGTTTTTCATTCTATAATATCCACGTGGTTCTGTTCTCCAGCTACGTTTCTAATTTTTTTCTAGAAGTTTTATGAAGAACTGGGAGATGCAGATCGACCGAATCTGGAAGTAGTATGGATCTCTCGTGATAAAGAAGCCGCGGATCAGCTGGAGTACTATGAGAAAGCAATGCCACCATGGTACTATATACCGTTTGGCGATCCGAACATCCAGTGAGTAGTCGTTGCCATCACATAATAATGTGTTGTTCTCCTTCAGGCCGCAGTTAGTTTATACGGACCGTTTGCCTGTTCGCGCTACTAACCAGGAAGGAATGGCGGGGTGAAGTAGCCATTTGCAATGACACCTACACTGTCGGATGTGTTTTTGGACGCTGATCTCGAATCTGCTTTCCAAATCTGCCAATCGATTTCTGAACGGAGTTATGAAGCAAATAGAGCAGCGGTACTGGGCCGGGTTCGCGATTGAGAGGTCGCGATCATTTCTGAGTGCTGACTTGGCTACAAATTAGCCTTAGGAACTCTTATTTCCGGTACACGAATATCATACCTGTCTGCTGCAGGAACTTCTGTCAACAGTTCTGCGGGCGCCATGTGCAATACTTAGCATAGCGCCCATTGTTAGGAATTTCTCGCATTCTCTGTACTGATAGCTGTAGGTAAGCGTCGATAAAGGA